ATACTGTCACTCATCCAGAAGAAGCTTGGTGCCATCTTCAGTCTGCTGTAAAAGCAGCACTGGAAACTGTAACCGACTCCAAAATAATGGCTAAAAAGAGCCAGTGGATATCAGCAGCTTCTTCCAAACTAATGGATGCACGTGAATGCATCCCTGCAGGCTCTGAGTACAATGAAGAGCGAGCGCAACTTAAAAATAGACTGACGAAAAGTCTGCGCAACGATCGTGAACAGTGGTGGGCAGCGAAGGCTAAAGAGATGGAAAAGGCAGCGGCGATCGGTAACAGTAGACAGTTATTTAGACTTATTAAGGAGACTGGGGGGAAAAGGTCAACAACAGTTAGTGAGACCATAGCGGAGAAGGACGGATCTGAGATTCACTCGCAGAAGAGACGACTGGAACGATGGGCAGAACACTTGAGAAACAGTTTAACTGGCCTCCAGCCACCATTGCGTTGCCCGCTATCCAGTCGGATCCTGAATGGGACATAGAGACAGGCCCCCAACACTAGAAGAAGTTGAGAAAGCGGTAGGTAGCCTGAAACGGGAAGGGCAGCAGGACCAGACGGACTACCTGCTGAGGTATACAAGAATGGTGGTAGAGTGCTCTTAGTCAGGTTAACGGAAGTGTTAGCCAGTATATGGGAATCAAATACGATCCCCTCCGACTGGTCTAAGTCACTCATCATCCCAGTCTTCAAGAAAGGCGAGAAGTCCTCTTGTGATAACCACAGAGGAATCAGCCTGACAAACATAGTGTCTAAGATCCTAAGTTCTATAATTCTCCGACGCCTGAGTGGAGCTCGGGAACAGCAAGCCCGAGAAAACCAGGCAGGCTTTAGACCTGGCCGTGGATGTATCGACCAAATATTCACACTGCGCCAGGTCCTGGAACATAGGCATGCTTACAGACGCCCGACAATAGCTGTATTTCTCGACCTGAAGGCGGCATTTGACTCCGTTGATCGAGAAGTCTTATGGCAATGTCTGTCACTGAAAGGCGTGCCTAGTAAGTACATCACCTTATTGAAAGCTCTCTACTCGAACACTTGTGGGCATGTTAGAGCCTATGGTGAGTTGTCCAGGGAGCTATACTCATCAAGTGGTGTCCGTCAAGGATGCCCACTATCCCCATTCTTATTTAATTTTATCATAGATATTCTTATGGAGGTTTCCCTCTCGTCACCTAATTACACAAACGTTGACCCAATCACAGGTGAATTTTCTTTAGATCTAGAATATGCAGATGACATAGTCCTGTTAGGTGAAGACGCTGACAAGATGCAGAGTCTTCTGAACACTTTGAGTGGGAATTTGAGAATGTTTGGGATGCGATTTTCACCACCCAAATGCAAATTTTTGCTCCAGGACTGGTCTTCAGCGGTACCGCGGTTAACAATAGAGAGTGAAGTGGTTGAGTGTGTTGACCACTTCACTTACCTGGGAAGTAGGATCAACCCGGTGGGTTAGTTGCCGATGAGATTTCTGCACGGATACAAAAGGCTCGATTGGCTTTTGCCAATTTGCGCCACCTATGGCGCCGCCGTGATATTCGTTTGTCTATTAAGGGTCGCGTGTACTGCACACAGCAGTCCGCCCTGTTCTACTGTATGGCTGTGAAACAGGTCACTGAAGGTGGAAGACAGGAGAAGGCTCTAGGTGTTTGACCACCGTTGCCTCCGTAGTATAGGCCGTATTCAGTGGTATCACCACGTGAGTAACCCAGAAGTCAGGAGTGGAGTTTTAAGGAGAAGAGGTAAGTCGGTTGACGAGGTTGTGAACCGATGTCAGTGGCGCAGATGTATACACACATTATCGTTATCTTAACGACACTATACCGAATCTCACCATTTTCTCATTCTTCCTTTCTCTCTTTTCGTACTCTATATTTCTTTTGACTGCATTCTCTTGTCTTCATCTTGCTCCTCACTGCCTTTTTACTTGATGTACTGTTATGAGGTGTGGCAACTCGGACAGTTACGCAACAATGCCTGATCCTAGGTTGATGTGAATGGATGGGATGGACGAACGTATTCTTCCAGGCTGCAACCTCACCACAGTGAGGAGCGGAGGTAGCTAAAATGTGGACTGACAAGAAGTGCATGCAATGATCACAAACAGTGATGGGTAGTGAAGGCTGAAGAGATGGAGAAGGCATTAGCGATAGGTACCAGTGGACAGCTAATTTTACTTATTTAGGAATCTGGAGTGGAGAGGTGTGGGTCTATGATTCTCTGGCAGGGGAGAGGACTGTAACGACGGGTGGAAGACTTCGAAGGACAGTTTGCTTGTCTCTAGCTACTATTCCGTTGCCTGCTATCGAATCGGATTCTGAATGGAACATCGAGATGGGACCGCGAACTCGTAGATAATTCGAGAAGGCTGTAGAGCAAGTGAAAGGAGGAAGAGCCGTGGGAGGAGATGGACCAGTACCAGAGGCGTTTAAGGACGGTGGTAAATGATAGTCGGTCAAGCTAACTGCTACGTGTGATAAGCACATGCGAATGAGCATGACGAACATTGTTTTAAAGCCCAAGTTCTAATATTATTAGGCGTAAAATTAGAGCTCAGGAACTGCCAACTCAAGGAAACCTAAGATGTTTCAAAACTTGCTGTGTGTGTAAGGACCAGATATTTACTCTATGTTAGGTTCTGGAACACAGGTACACTAACTGACACCCGACTCCATTGACCAAGAGGTTCTATGGTAATATCTCTCACTGAAAAGGTGTATTGGTAAGTGTATCATTCTGTAGAAGGCTCCTTGCCAAAACACCAGTGGATGTGCTTGAGCCTATGTTCAGTTACCAGGTGATTCGGGTGTTGTTTCTGAATTATGTCTATTCTCTCCATTCTTATTTAACTTTATCATAGAGGTACCTAAGGAGGTCGACCTCGCTTAGTCTGACTACATAGCGATTGATCTTATCATAGAAAATTCCTTATCAGATGAAATAATCGTGTCAGATGAAGGTGGTGAGAAGAAACAGTCTACTGGACACTTAGAGTAGTGATATGAAAATGTTTGAGGTGTGTTTACCACTATCCAAATGTAAATTGTCGCCCCAGAACTGGTCTTTAGTGGTGTCTTGTCTAACAATAGGTAATGAAATGGTTTAGCTTGTTGACCGCTTCACTTACCTGGGTTGTCGGACCAGTCTTGTTGATTCAGTGACTGATGAAATCTCTGCACAAATACAAAAGGTTCGCTTGGCTATTGGTAACTTACACCATTTATGGCTCCACCGTGATATTCGATTGCTTACAAAGCGTTGAGTGTACTTTGTTACAGTTCGCTCTTTTCTATTCCATGGCTATGAAACGTCACTATTAAAGGTGGAGTACATGAGAAGGCTTTAGGTGTTCGACTATCATCACCTTCGTAGCACAGCGATGCATCGTGGTGTCAACACGTCAGTAACGTAGAAGTCAAGCATAGACGTTCCAGGGAGAAGAAGAAAGTCAGTTGATGAGGTTGTGAATCTTCATCGACTTACTTGGCTGAGATATGTATCACCCACCTCTAGTTACTATCTGCCTCACTGCATAATGTTCGGTGAATTAAGTTCATCCTGGGAAAGGTTTAGAGTCGACCAGACTAAAAAATGGCATCAGTCTCTAATGTCTTTTACTGTTGGTTTGGTCCATGCAGGGGACGTAGACTTCTTGGTTGGAGTTCGTGTGACAACAGAAATAAGTGGCTGAAGACTGTATGTGATAGGGCTCACTGGCGTAAATGTATTCACACACTATCTCCATCTTAATTTCAATATTCTTTCATCCCACCTTTCCCCATCTTGATGACTTTCAACCAATTTTGACTGCTTTCTTCTTTATTCCTCTATCTTTCATCTTGGTGCATTCTCGCTTGGTGTGGTGATTTGAGGTGTGGCAACTTGGAGCTTTACACAACAATGAGAAGTGATATGTTGTTATTGGCTCTTCATGTGTCCCATATGGGTTGAAACTTGTGAAATCTTTGCTGATATTTTTATAACCATCTTCCGATATGTTCTCGGTATATGTGAGCTTCTTACTGTCAGTGCTATCGGTGTCCAATCTGTTCATTCTATAGATACTCACAGGCTTTTCGCCATTATTCTATTCATGACTCCGCATAAACCATTGTAAGCTGTTTGTGGTCTTCGTGTTTAACGAAGATGACGGTAATGTTAGTCAGTGTGAATGAGTTGTGTGACCTAACTGGATACAGTCAGCCACGTCTAGTGGATCTTGAAATGGAATGAATTTTTACGAATCAACATTGATACATAAAGATATCATGATTATCAACACGGCAAAAGTGTTTACCACGACAGGGATAGGCTGATAACTGTTCCATCTTAGATACACGTAAGTTCAGTTTTAATCGTTAATTGCTACCACATCATCGAACCACAACAAGTTCGAATTCACTTGTTTATCAATTATTCTAAACGATTTCTGGACGTAAACTTCATATCTGCTATCTACAATGTGACGAGCGATACCGGTGTTGGAGACCTTCACACATATAGGTCACAATCTTCCTTGAATATGCTCAGACATAGTTTCAAATCCTACTCCCTTTTCATCATTTGGGCATAAGCTTCGGCACGCACATACGAATAGGTAGACACAATTGGAGACAACATGAAAAGGGGACCTGTCAACCTTAGATTATCTGAATGAGAAATCTGTTCGATGAAAAATGATTAATGTAACAGCTGAATAGCTACTTCATTTAAGTGTGGAAACTTACACTGTTACGCAAGAATTTCGCATCATGGTTACAGTTTTTGTCTTTTTGTCAGCTGGTGATTCGTGGTCGGAATCGGTTAGTTGTAACATGTCTGACTACAGCACCGTGTAATGCTGTTCCAAATCTCTGAAATGAATTTAATCCAAATGAGGTAGTAGATTCCTTTTGGTGACATGCACAAAAAAGTAGGAAATCTTGACGAAGCATGGTTTCCTTATGTTTGCTTCGAACCGTTCAACAGTAGACAATCCCTGTTGAAGTCATTTATATTTTTTCAGTGTTTTTCTTTTAACTGTTGATCTGCGATACAGAATTATCGGACACCATCGAGATTTCGCTACCCAGTTCTTATTGGTAGAATACGTTTGTAGAATTTCGAGATGTGAAAATTCATTAAAGCCAATATTTATGTACCATAAAGAAGTACTGCAGCAAATTGAATAGTGAACAAGCAAAATAAACACAATACTTTGTGCATAATGTAATAAAAACTTATTTTTTATTTGAAGTTTAATAGAAGTTAGATTCAGAATTCGTAGAGTTCGATCTATGATATTCACTTGATCTTCATAAATGGATATATGTTCAGGATTAAAGTGTATATGCCTGTGTTTGGTGAAAGAGGAAGCAAGATTATCACATAGTGGCACAGCAGTATTCAATTTTGCCAGATTACCACCATCATTGATACTTTTATCATCATTCAACGATCGGAAGGTAGTTGATCCATTCTCTTGACATGTTTCATTATGACACGTTCTTTCTAACCCGTTTACCATAAGATAATGTACAATGTAGTAGAGTAGAGGAATTGGTTGTTCAATTAATTCATTATGCGACTTGTGATTGTCCAACTCAACATGATTTCTTGATGTAAGCGATTTAATGTTTACTGTAGGCTTTATCTGTAAAGCTTGACATACAAACCGTCTAGGCAGACTATGAGTATTCCCGTGACCAGATTCTGTTCGAAAAACGGACTCAGTGAATGATAAACTGAAAGAGAAAAGGAAACAAAGAAAAGTCAACTTTATCGGTGATCAATATTCATTAGAAGGAAATAACGATGGTAGTGAAACAACTTTCTACCATGTTTGTATCCTTTTATATGTAAAAATCCTTGAAATTTTAACATATTTTGTCGACCTACCTTATTTGAAAACAGTAGCATTTCATTTCGTGAGGTGATCAGGAGAAGTGCAGCATTCCAAGCTGCTAAATCTCACGACTATGACAAATAAGAAAGTAGTGAACAGAAGGAGACTGATATTGGAGCAAACATCAAGGGTAGACAAGAAAAGAAGGCAAATAGATGAACGTTGGTGAAAATGTACAATATTTCGAAGATAAATCAGCAGGATTGTAATCCACTTTGAACTACATCACTTATGATGGCTAACATCTCAAAGACATTAGAAATAAGACATTCATAGCAAGAGAACTCCTTTCAATGAGTGTAAATACATCGAGTAAACAGGAAACTGGTATAGCTTCTTACCTATTAGTTTCATAGAGTTAGTGGAAGCAATGTCGAATGACTAAGTATTCATGTAATTCGGTGCATTCGTCCATCATTAGATTAATATTCACTTGTCACAAATGCTTTGTTGCCTATCTAGATGACATAAATAGGAAGGCTTAAAGAGAATCGCTATGTACACTTGTTTCTTCTCTTTGAGTCACCCTATTCTTCCAACTCCTTTCTGTTGTTTCAATTTTAGTGGATGTACAAATATAACACATCATATCAAAAAGGGTCGGGAGGATTTCCTAGCGGAATTCCCGATGGTAAAATGATCAAAACATTGCTTTAATGATTAGACATTGACATACGTCAATTTGTGTAGGCAGTCCAGTGTTTCAGTAGTTATTTGTGACTTGAAGAGTTTAGTGATAATGTCTCTAACTTCAGGTTTCAATCACTAAAAAATCTATTCCCTTGATGGTACTGACAATTGTGTCAACAGTCATGAAATCAGGGTTTCTTGTTGACTGCTTCACAATATCTAGCACCAAAATACAGTGCACTGGAATGTTGCATCATTTACCTTAGTGAACATATTGCAAGCATGATCGATGAATTTCAGTCAGCTATATGAATTAATGACTGGTGACCAGTTCGTCTTCTCTAGTTTTTCAGCATAGTTTAAACAAACAGACGCTTGTTTCATTTTCAAGTGAACTTGTTAACCGAACATGTTAAAAACTCCTCATTTTTTTCCGTATAACTAATGATTCATTGAACGTTTGTAACTAGCACCCAAATGAAAGCAGAATATCACTGATTTGGAGTGCTGTCCAATTCAGAGGACGTATGCTTATAGTCAATGACTGGTTTATATTTCTTGTGTATTATAGTTGTTATATTCACTATTCAGTATATTTCTCGTCATAAAAATGGATGATTAATAATATGGCACCATTAAGGAAACAGAAATTCAGTACAGAAAGGGAAAAGGAGAATAGAAATAAAACTAGGAGTGGGTTATTGACAAGTAGTGTCAATGATATATACAAGAAAGCATTCACTACTTGCATTTTACTTTCAAGGAATACAAGAAACATAAAAACTGCAGTATGATCATCATTAGTTTTCATTCTGAATCATATCAGCTATTTTACTGTTTAGGTAATAAACTTGATGCAACATAAGCACCAAGAAATGTCTCATGCAAAATGATATAACAACACAAAGAAGATATGTGATTTATAACCAAGTAAGAAGAAAAAAGGAACAGGTGAAGAAACAAAAAGGGATTATTGAAGAAATAGTCTCAAAGATACATTCACTACTTTTGATGGTGGAAAAATCAAGAAAGTTGCAGTTTGGCTGCTATTGGTTTCGACTTCGAGTTATATCTGCTACAGTCTCAAGTCACTGAGTTTCATGGTCTCTCGAGATCTATCCATCATCATCATCATTATCAACATAGGACCAGACATTACTGAGTAACGGTCCGAGTTGCACTTACGGTTGGTAATCCAACACAACTATCCTTCATTCCATAGTACCACACCGAACATTGACTACCTCTTCGTTTCTTCCAACCAGTCACAGATCAAGAGAACAATGAACATCTGAATCATGCGGACGATATTCGCAAGATATGACTAAGTCATCAAATTCGGCGTTCTAAGATAACCACACTCAATTAGTGACGACCTCTATAACACCTCAGCTCAAAATTATCATATGTTGCTTTTACTAGATGTCGGAAATCCTACATAGGTAACGATGATTCGGTAAAAAGAGTTATCAAACCTCCACTGCTTTGAGACATCAGGTTCCAGATGCATAGAGCAGAACTACTCGTACTGACGCGTTGTAAACATAAACTTTCATTAACAAAGTCATGGTGGCACCGAATGTGACCCATATTTGCGTATACTGCTTTAGCTTTCAACATCTAGTTAGGAACCGCGTAAGTTAGTCCTTCTAGGAACCCTCAAACAAATACCTGCGTACAAAGACTTTCTACAGCCTCTTACAGACTGATTCCATAGGTGAGTCCAAGTAAATGTTCCTGTTAATTTTGTAGAAGCATTTTTCACTTCTTCAGTGTAAAGGAGACACACTATTACAGACATTGGTTGCTAACTGGTCGAGTGAGATTTGAGTAGCCGGTATCTTGTCTCTCACCTCCTCAAACCTGATTATAGAAGATTGCTCCGGAATGACGCCTAACGTCTAACACTAAACACGATGCACCGCAGTGCTGCATCACTAAGTTTAGTGGTCAAATAGTAAAACTTGACCGACAGTCTTCGATTGGTACTTGACTACTACATCAATTACCATCCGGTCAACATTTTGTGTTACTCACTTAAATAACCGAATATTACCCTAGTCTCACGAAGGCCATCAACATATTTCACATCAATACTCCAAAAGTGAAGTGCAACTCAGCAACTACTTGCAGTAGGCAATGAGCCACACCCATTGTGTTGGGGCTAATGATACTGCTGCTCAACCCTCGGTAAGTGGAGTGGGCTTTGAACCATTAACCCAGTGGTTGAAAGTCAGGTGTCTAGACTGATCAGCCACAGATCCAACACACTGATATTCTATTTACAAAATCATGTTATTGATGTCATGGATACTACTCCGTGTAATAATACAGTCTCGTCATGTCCACGCACATAGTGACTCTGTCACTGCACAACTTTTCAGATAAAATATCAGTTACTCATAAGTAGTATAAATAAATAACATTAATTACACGTGTTGAATTACAGCGGTCATGCTAAATACATTCCCCGACACAGGATGCTGAGAGATAGGTCCCAAAATGAACATTAATTTTGATGCACAGTACACGATAAAAGGTTAGGGAAGAAGTGTAAGCAATTCAAATTACCAGTAAAACCCAAGTGTTATATTTGACGGAATGAAAAAAAAAGCAAATTTTTGTTGAAATTACCTTTCAAATTTTAAATATTCAATGATTAATTCATTGATCAACAATTTCATATTTGAGTGAGTATCTGAAACGGGAGGTGTTTTCACTTCAGGTGATTGATTTCTTATTTTCTCAAAAATTCTCTTCATGATATCAGCTTTCATTTCCCTGAGAAATCCATCATCACTCAGTGCTGTCCGCAAATAATTCTTTAAATCATCACTTGATGCCATTTCTTCCTATTGGCATGTGGCGGCAGTAAATCCACCTATAACAAAGGCTGGATGATGATAATAAAAGTTAGATTATAGCATTGAAAAAGTTTGCCAAGACTGCTGTTAAACTATACCAGATGTTAGTTGGAAGGAAGAGTTTTGCAGGAAGTTTTGGACCTAGGTTTTGTGATTGTTGGCAGTAATTAGCAACCTCAACAGAAATGATGTCTCACTTGAGACTCGAACCCATGTCACTCAGTGCTGCAACCAGACGTTATCGCTGAGATATTCGGGCTGCGATTGGCCAACCCTACGTGTATCCCTGTGCATCGTGATGGTGAGTCCTATAGCTTGATGGCCACATTGCAAAATGGCCAATAGGATTTAACCAGCACTTAGGTGTAGACGACATAAAACTGTTTACCTACCTCTCAGTAGCAAATTAGCGTATATCAGATGTATTCGATGCTAGTAAGGATAATAAGTAACCGAGTGTAAACTTCAAACTTTATCATCTGATACAAGTTCTACGGCTTTACCAGTCAACTAGCCTTCTATAAATTCTGCATTGAATCTGAACAATACTCAACTAGAGATTCTATCACATGTAAGCGGTATGTTAAAGACACTAGTAATCAAACGACGACAATGGTGTATAGACTCATACGCTGGTGGTGAACCATACACACTATACAAGGTGTGTGATACTATTTGACTATTTAAACCTCAATAACCAAGGAAATATTTGAACCGCTGACCAACTCCCTGAAAGACAAGTATTTCTAATTCAATCGGCAATAAATCTATGAATGGTTGTGAACTTCTAAAATGTTCCCTTCCCAGTGTGAGAGAGATAGATATTTCATCAGTATTAAAAGTGGTATACATTAACGAGTACAACTTAATTTATAACTGCTGGAACTTAACAGTACTGAGTAACCATTAAAGTTGTCGTATCTTACCTCACCTCATCAAGATACAAGATGAAAAACAGAGACAAAAAAATGTCATTAAAAGTCGTAAGAAGAAAGGTTAAGACCATAACGAAATACGGTATGACGATATGAGCTATATCTTCTAGGATATCCAGCCACTGACTTCGATTGTTATGTGGACCCCCCCCCCCCACCTACAAGTAGACATTATCTTACATATCTCATATCAACAGTCAGAAACATCATGGATGGACTAACGATGTGTTTCAGTCTCCTCATCAAGAAACCTACTGTTTATTCATGATTATTATTTATAGCGCTAGGAATACCTCTTATCCATAGTTAAGTTCAGTCAAACTGAATTATTAGTACAAAGTCAATTAATTTACAATCAGATTATTTATAATCATCTTGATATTTACTCTTCTCAATACTAAACGGATAGCTGTAAGCATCACGTATGTTTAATCCACAGTTGATACATCTAACAGCTAGTAAACTCAGTTGATCTTGTCGTCGTCTGTCTTAATTCATAACCTCGTCAATCGAATTGTTTACCTCACCTAATTAGTACCCTTTAGCCTGACCCCAACACTGCTCAAAAGGTGATTCCATCAAACGCGAGCAATGCTACGAGGGCATCTATGTTCAAAACCCTGTAACTGTTTCATATCTTCTGCTTTCAACAGTCATGTCTCACAGTCATATAACAGGATAGAAAAGGCTGTAGAGCAGTATACTCATCCTATGATAGGTAGTCGGGTATCTCCCCAGTTAGCGCTACAGATGACCCAAGTTGTCACGTACAAAAAAGGTCTTCTGTATCTGATCATGATGTCTGGGACAGGGGACCACTTGTTCGTCTCTTCGACGATTCAGTCTATTAATGATGACAATCGGCAGACAGACAGACAGATAGACACAGACGAATAACATTCTACAGGTATCTATCATCCTGAAGTTGTATATTGTTCAGATTATAACAGTTGAAATAACCGTTAATTCACTACTTCAAATATGGAACACTTAACCAATTAACTCTCCTCTTATTTCCGTTTAGGCGATTACATAGTATCATAAGTCCTCAGTAATTTTCTGTCCTTTTGAAAACATCCTTTCAAAGATGGATAAGTTTAATTTTAAACACTCTTATTGTCTTGGGTTCACATAAACTTTTATGAAGGCATACATACGCATAAATTGATGTGCATCACCTTATGTTGCCTCACTTCCCAACAATATATAAAAAAGAAGTGAATAGAAACAGAATGATAAAAATTGAAAACAAAATAGAGAATAAATAAATAAGTTAAGTTAAACAAAGTGTCCAAAATTCTAAAGATCCTGAGAAGTGAATACTTCTGAGCAGTGGTGATCGATTTTAAGCTTTCAGCAGCTGGACAATGAATACACAATCACACAACTGGAGTAAAAGTTCAGAGACTTTATGGACTGATGTTATGCTTTGTTCTGGGTATCCTTAACTCACTTCCAAACTAATTCTACTTTGGTTGACATGATGCATAGGAGGTAGACAATAACTTGTCATGCGTAACACAGGCAAGACGTCATCTGAGTTGTCAGATGTTGACAACCTCGACGATTGATGAATTTCATTTACCTAGGAATTTATGTCTAACTTCAGTGTTGTTCCTTTTTTACACCTTTTATATAGGCAGAGAAGGATGATGAAATTCTGCCCAATGAATTATGTCCTTAATTTACGGTCGGATATCTCGAGGAAATAAGAGGTGTAAAAATACAATAAAAAGATTATACTTAAGATGATGTGCACCGTAACCAATTTAAGCCTAAAAAAAACATAACACAATATTCCACCTACATATTAGGAAGTTAACTATGAGATCACTAAATAATCCGAAGTATCAAAATGGAAAACTCTTTACATACTTTTACTTATTTACAATGTGAAGCAATGAGTCAGTGGATGAAATCCTCATACTTTAAGCAGAAAATCAACGGTTCATACATAAAAGGATTCAAGCAGATGGTATCAATAAGTTTTACCCAGTGGCTGACTACATATTACACAAACTTGTGTGTGGTTGTTGAGTGGACAGACAGATGGCATCAGCCAATTAACAAGACCAAACAGAAGGAATCAACGTAGAACTCTGCACACAGGGTCATTAATTCAAGTTGCCATACTTCATAGTAGTATAAAAAGACAGATGGATAGAGTAAGACTGATTTCGAAGTATGCAAAGCAGTGTGAGAGAATAAACAATCCGAAGGTAATGGTTAGTGAAAATATTCAAGCTTTAGAAGAATTCAAGGAGTGAATACATTTGCACCATTATGACTTTCAGGTTCTAGTGCGTTGCATCGTTTCAGGTTTGATACAACCTTCTAAACCTCAGAGAGGTTTGGAGGGGAACATCCACGTCCCATTCAGGTACGGGCTGGAGGTTGGGCAACCGAAACATTGTTGTGGGCCAGTTGAACTGTGCTTCAAAGTGTCCCACCCAACGTTCTAGCCGCTTTTCCTGGGAGATTGTCAGTGTGTGATCCTTGTCGATGATTGTTTAACCAACCATCTTTTTTCTCTTGCTGTTATGATTAATAAGCCTAACTAGTTGTTGATTACTACCTGACGCTCATGCTTTCTTCATTCCCTTCACTTTCACCACCAACCACTGCTCACGATCATTGTAAAGACTCTTAGTCAACTTACGTTTAAGTTGCTTTCGCCCTTCAGTATGATCGAAACCAACTAAAATCAGTCTTCTCATATCAGTCCGTTCCTATGATTTTGCTGAAATACAATGAGGTTCACTAACCTCCAGGTGTAGGCTAGTTACCGACTGTCTTTACCTCTGTTTCGATACAAGACTTAATTTCACGCCAAGTTTCATCAAGATGAACATTGCTGTCAAGTTCAGATAAATGATTGACTAACTCCCACTTAAATACGTATTAGGTGTCTTCATCTTTCAATCAAGCATGGACAGGCTTTACTATCACCTATTTCCTGAGAACAGTGAAGCACAGATATACAAGAATCCGTACAACCACTTGACCGGAGCCCAAACTGGTCTCCAGAAAGAGCGGTAACCCACCAACGATGGCTGGCTTACCGCAACATGTGTGTCCATCGTTGGTTTGAAGTCGGCGGACGCTATGTGAGTCAATGTATACCCTTATACTTTTGCCATACTTAGTGCTGAGCAAAACAAGTGATTCCCGGAACAAATTGTAACAGACGATCACTGTCGTCAGTTTGTTGGCATAAAATTCCGTAAATACCTCCAAGATGCACTTCCGATTGGCTCAACTCAGCTGCCGTACTTGAGCATTTAAGTAACCTGTCATTATAGCTATGTCTGAACGTTTTGTTTTCTGTAGCGACCTCCATAGAACTCATCCTTTGCATCATCCGAACTGCAGTTGGTGGGTGTGTAAGCATCGCCTAGTCTCGTGGTCCTTCCTAGAACGTAAAGATCCATTTAGTTGGATAGCACACGGGCGGATATTGACTGATATCCAGTCGAGAAGCGCACATTTTGCTCTACAGCTCAATGCTATGCCTATACCAGCGAGTCCACGAGAGCTAGCCACTGACTGGGTCTCCGGATCGCTCGTAGGGTGAATTTAAAAGATTCACTACTGTGGCAACGTGAGGTCAATTTGATAACCACATTCGGGTTTTGCGTATACACGAATCTCAGAGACACAGCATACATCCGCAGCTAGAGATTCTAGAGAACTATGTTGAAAGTCTTCAAAGAAGCTGGTGACAGGCCACAGTTCAAGTTCAACACACAAAACAGATACTGAACTGAAGGACCAAACCATAAAGGACATCTTCGCGTCAACCATCAGGGCACAATAGGAGACATTGAGCAACATCTCTGGGGAAACCTGATTGGAAGAACACTGGAACTCTTTGGAAGGGATGTAGAAGGAAACCTGTATAACCGTATTAGATAGGAAGAAGAAGCAGCAAGACAAGGAATGAATCTCGACAGACACATGGAAGCTGATAGAGCAGGGAGAGGAAGATGGTGATGGTGAAGCAGAAGATGAACCAGTGCAGTGCAGTTCAGGGATGAACAACGAAAG